AATTGAAAACATTTTCACCAGAGTACATAGGTGGAAATTCAGTAATGCATTGGGAGTCAGACTGGATAGAGTGAATAAATTATTCAGTAATTTTGAGATAATGTCTAATTTCATTTAATCTTCCCTCTTTTTATATATTTAAAAAAATTGTGGAACGTTTCATGTAGCAACTTGATGTGAAGTCTTTTTTATGCGACTATGTGTTGAAATATCACCCATTTATATTTGTGTCTCCAATATTTCTAAAAACCCAAGAAAAGGATGTTGCCTTACATATTTTATAACATTATTCTAATACTGAAACCAGATGGAGATAATTGAAGAAAACTGCAGACCAGTTTTACATTCCCTTGTTACTATTGATGCAAAAAGAGCTTCAGCAAAATACTAGCAAATCAAATTCAACAACCATTATAAGTATTGTTACCAGACTGGGAGAGGGGCCCCCAAGGACCCCCAAGCCTACCTATTCTAAATAGGTCCTGCCATCTGTTGCATCAAGCCAAAACATACTCTAATATATTTGATGGCAAGAAATTTTAAAACAATTAGTGTACAACAAAGAAAAAACAAAGAATATGGTTTCCAAATCAAGACCTGAAATTACCCATCCTCTCGTGGGTAAATGTCCAGCCAAAAAGGGTTGGCCCAATGCAAGGCCTGAAAGCCTACTATAACTGTAAAGCACTTTCCAGCAGGGACCCATAGAAAAGGGTCATAAACAGCCAGACAAGTCTGGAAGGAAAAGAGCAAAATCAAAATCATAGCTGCCATTGTTAACCTCCCCATGAGCCTGTCCCCTACATCTGTTTCAGCCAGTGCAAAGCTAAGAAGCAGGTGCAGCTTCTTCACCTGTCTCTGCTCTATGTGCCTCCTCCAGTCTCCTCCTTGCTCCCTCTTCTGATTCCTTCTTTCTCCAGTCTTCTCTCTAGCTTCTTTTCTTCCCTGCTCAGCTCCACCTTTCCTTGGGGAGGGCAGGGAACCTGGAATCTCTCCTTTTTCTGGGGACCCTCGCTACATGATTAAGCATGTGATCAGGTGAGATTTATTTCAGGGATGGGACATTGAAAAGGCTCGGCTGTGGGACATTTCTCTGTTGTGTGCTGTGTTTACCAGGCGTTAGTCAGGAAACCTAAGCATCAGGTATTTCCAGTAGGAAGTGAGGCTTTAACATTGTTGGGAGGACTGGAGAGGGAGAACTGGAATCGAGAACATGGTCTTGTCCTGCCATCCACTGAATCTATTGACCTCTCTTTGGGGGTCTTGGGCTCCTTGCCTACCCTCTCTGGAGGCCCCTGCCCTGGGTAGCTGCCATCACTATTACTGGAACCTTCTATTTTCCCTGCTAGCAGAGCATCTCTTAGGGCCCTGCTGGTTTGGGATATAGAAGAGCATGGGATACACAGAAGGTGCCCCATTCAATACCTACCATGGGCTGAGTCTCCTGTGAATTGTAGGATATGTAATATACCCATTAATGCCAAAAGCATCCTTCAAAATCACTTCAATGTGGGGAAACACACTCTCTTTCCTGTCTGCACATTGTCTTGGGAGGAGTCCTTCCCAGCTAGAATGCTGTCTAGTGTAAGGATTTTTTTTTAAGAGCTATTTATTTATGCATACAAGAACTGGGGTATAGGCCAGAGGTGGAGTGTAGTGAGAGGATTCACCAGACACAGAGTGAGGAGCGGAACAGGTGGATCTACTGAAACATACTACACACTACTGAGGGGAGCAGCGGGTGGGACAGGAGAGGTCTGCTGCATCATGTTGGCTCCCTGGCCAGGTACTGAACTCTTATTGCAGGGGCTGATTGTAGCTTGATAGTGCTGTGTCCTTATCTCCTGCACCACTAGGGAGGTGCTGTAAGAGTAGATTTTAGCTTGGGATTCATGATGAATAGCTGCAACTTATTTGTGTATGCAAAGTGTGTGTGTGTGTGTATGAGACAAACTATAGATTTTTCAGATTCTTAAAGGTGGCTGTGCCTCTCCCAAAGGAGTAGCAGTTCAAGCACTGATGAGATCCCAATAGCTGGTGTGATCAACAAAGAAGTTTGATTTAAGAACTGCTCTTTGAAAGATGGGTAGATTATAAGCCATAATGTTTTTATAAGACTTTATCCACTTTGAAATGTTTTCATAATTATGTTATTTGACCCAGTGGAGTAAGAGGCAGAAGCTGGAGTCCAGCAGAAGATGCTGGAAAGTCATACATAGTAGCACAGCCCTGGAGGCTGGGACAGAATCCTCAATGGCTATGAATATCATAGAAAGAAGGTGATCTGTGGAGGGAGAATAATGAATTAGATCCCAGCCCTTTGGCTGTAAGTCCTGTGATCTTTAATCTCCACAGCAATCCTGTGAATTAAGCCCATTTTGTACACAGAGAAGCCCTCACCTGTCTTAAGTTACTTACTCTGATCCTAGCACAGTCATTGGCTGGGACTTAAAACCTAAGCTTGGCTTCTGCATCAAGCCCCCATTATAACCAGCTGTTTCTGACCTTTGGATGCTCTTCTGTAAACAGCCCAGCGGCTCAGCATCTGGGGCAAAGACAGCTCAAGGGCAAGTATGAAAGGTTTTGCAGTAAAAAGCCCCCACGTGAAGGGGCCAAGAAGTTAGCCCAGACTCCAGGCCTTGGCTGGAGTGTGCTCTGCCGCACTCTCTCTGTGTGTCTGTCTTCTCTGGTGTCAGCTCCTGTTCTGAGAGAGGCCCATGTTCATGCTCATTGCCTGCTGTTACACCACACACTCTATCCTTCCTGGCACTTGCCAAACTATGTTGTTTGAAAGTGCTGGTCACATTCACTGCTTTTCCTCTGTTGCTTGACACCCAAATCTGTACAATAAGTGTTGGCTAACAAGTGTGGAAAGCCACTGTTTCTCCAGTGTTGACCTGGGACACATGCCTTTTGGAGCAAGCTGTACTTGCGGATGAAGGGCGTATCCAACGAGTTAGCTGTGACAGCTCTTGCTCATTTATGGGGGAGATTTTTGTTTTTTTGCACCTGTGCTCTCAGGAAAACCTTAAATGTGACAGTCCAGCATTCAAGAGAGGGCCTGCCTCCTCTAGGCTTTTGCTTGTTGAATTATCCCTCAGCCTTTCTTGTTCTTTCTGTCTTTAGGTTGTTCATCATGACCCCTGCCGTGGGGGCGCAGGGCAGTGGAACAGCTTGTTCAGATTCAAACACCTGGCCACCGGGAACTACTTGGCAGCAGAGGTAAGACTGATAACAGTTCTGCCCTGTCTCTGACTCAAATGGTAAAACAGACAGTGGTCTTCTCCAGAATTTGGGCTTGTTGGGACAGTCACTATTGAAGTGATTGTTGCCTGTCAGGTGGTGGATTGTTATATAAATTATTCTTCAAATGTAAATGTTCATTCGAGCCTTAAACTAATCTTGCTCTTAAGATCTAAGCCTGCAGCCGAACCCTGTGGTTGCTTTATGTAAGGGTGATGGGGGCAGAGTGTGGTTTGCATCTCTGTGTGGATGGCAGGTATTTCTGTCCAGCTTCACTCTTTGAGAATGTCTTCCCTTGAGACAGGATGAGCTCACTGTCAGTGTGGATAATCATGATGGTGTCAGGCTTGTCTTCCATTGCCACCATTCCCACATGGGCGACTTTTGTTGTTCAAACCACAGCAGTGGGAAAGCTCTTCCCATGACACAGACTATATCCTAGAACTGGTAATTTAGTAAATACCTGTAAAAATCTTTGTCTACTAAAGTCATCTTGACAATTGAGGGGAAAAAAGGGGCGGGATACATTAACTGCATAGAATTAAAAAAAAAAAAGCTTACTTTGGTTTCCTCATTTAACAGTATTATTAAGACTTATTTTCAGATGTCTGAAATATTCAATTGATTGTAGTCTTTCGACTCTCTGTTTTTCAATTTAGATTGTCTTCTCAGATTTAAACCAGAACTTTGTCTTAGAACTTTTAGTATTATCTGACTTCTGGCTTTGAATGTGAGGTAGAGGAAGGAGGCAGTGATAAAGAATTGATGAGAAAATTGTGTAGAAACAAGAAATTTCTATAAATATTTCAACCCGTGCTTACACTCAGTTCCATTATTTTGTCCTTTCTGCTAATCTGTCATAATTTCTTTCATAGTGCTTACCTCCATCTGACTTAATGTGTATTTGTTATGACTTTCTCTGACTGCAAAAATATAGTATTTTAACTGAAAGATCAAACTGATGCCACGACAGGCTTCAGAATGCTTCTGAATCAGCCAGGCCTAAGTTTTGGTTATCCACAAGGCGCCAAGGCCGTGTTTAACTGTAAATGTCCTAATCTTGCTCATCCCAAAACAACAGCCAATTAGCAAGTAGGCAAGTAACCAGTACATATCAGGAAAATGCCAGGTGTCCTAAAGTATGCAGGCCGAGTAGTGAAGGTCACCTCTTACATGCATAGATCAACCGGGTTAAGACAAGATAATTTTGTTCAATGTCCACCAATCAGTGTACTGCTGAGCAAAAACTCGCCTCTGCTGGGCTTAAACTCCCCTCTCTGTAATAAAAGCCCTGCCTTCTCTGAGCTCAGGGCTCTCAACTTTGGCTCCTGCATTGCTGCATGTTGGGAGCCCAGGCTCGAGCTTGCAATAAAGACCCTTGTGTGCTTTTCTTCGGAATCGGCTCCTTGATGGTCTTTGGGAAACTTGAAACCTGGCACGACATTGACATCATTACTGGATCCCCCAAGCATCTACTATAGTGCTGACATTTGAAAGCCTTTAATGAATATCTTTTGAATGAATGAAGATAGTAGTAAGCCTGTTATAAACTTAGATAATGAGAGGAAGAAGATTCCAGGATTCATATCTGAATCCTGGACAATTAATCTCTCTAAACTCCATTTTCTGGAAATGGGGATGATCACAATATTTATCTAATAAGGCTATTAACAGAATAAAATGAGGTTACATGCTCGACACATTTTCTAGCTTATAATAAGTACCCAATAAGTGATACTGACAGGACTGATTCTTTTTTATGATAAATAGAGATTAGGGTTAGTGATACTGACATGACTAACTTTTTAATATGATAAGTAGGAATTTTTCCTAATTTTATAAATATGACTTATTTATTAGTCTGCTCAATTAAGTAAGCTACAACTTTGGACTTTATGGGCTGTTTATACTGTAAATGTTTTGAAGTAGTTTTTTTGCAAAGTAAAAATCCTTTAAAGCAAAAATAAGCAGTAGAGAATTTTGTTTGAAGTAAGAATTAGGAAAGACTAAATGTTCTATAAAAAGTAAGAACTCAGAATTAAAAATCCCTTGAATTCTCTCTTTTATTGGTGGTTCTTTTCCTTCATTCACTTCAGTCAGTGACTGTTTAAGCTATGGGTCTTCTGTAGAAAACTGACATGAGTTATATATACATTAATTGTTTTCCTTTTTAATTTCTATAATTAAAATGTATCATTTGATACATTCAAATAACTATATTATCAAAAACAAAATGTTTATTAATGGTAATGGAAATCTAAAACCTCAATACATTAATGAATTCATTAAAAACAAAAAATACAGAAGAATTCATTCTTTGAAATTCTTGTCTTTTTATTCTGTCTTCAGAGAACATGACTTTAAATGCCAGATGCTATTTTCTCTGCTAAAGAATCTGGTGTATTTGAAAGATCTTTTCTTTGACCTCATATTTTCTAATGGTAAGCTTTGAGATGGAAATGGAAGATTAGGAACATATTCTCTATGATTTTAACTAGTATAACAGAATAGGTGCTTCTGTGTCGTATTTTAATATCAAATCAGAAATCACCAACTCAAATAGTGACACCTGTAAAGAGGGGGCTTAAATTTCCTGTCTCAGCTGAGTCTAGAGAGAATATTGATCAACTCCTGTCACAGGATGCTTGTCTTACTGGTCAGAGTGTCCAGAGGTTTGGTGAAATTAGTGATTGTCACCTGTTACCATTACTTGATTAAACAATTGATTTCCAATTTCATAATAGGTGGTAACCAGCTTCTATAGCAATTGAAAAAAACAATGTCCTTTTAGAATTCGGCTTATAAAAAATGCTCAGATCTTATTTTAAAGACTTATTTGTGGCATTGAGGTTGGGCCTGTGTCCCTCAAAATGAGTTGTAACTACCTAACATTATTTGTTTTATTGTACTGTACTCTTCTTCTTAGGCAAGACAAAATTTTCCCTGGCTTTTGTTTATTTTGCTTTTTCAGTTTTGTCTTTATTCTCTAGCTATTACTTAAAAACAAAAAGATACACTCAATGATATGTGTATTTGAACTGAGCAAACATTTTCTTTAAGCTCTTATGCCCTCTTTGATACCTATTTCTTCGTGTAGGTAGGTGCACAGCCAGTAGAGAAGGCTGCAGGCAGAGAAGGAAGCAGAGTGCTGGGTCTTCACATCTTCTAGAAGTCCAGGGTGTGACTAGGGCTGAAGTAGAGGTGATCTTCAGCATGGGTAGCTCATCAGCAAGTATGAAGAATGGTGGGGTATGTGGATACAGAGCCTTGAGAGTGTCCTATTTGAAGGGTGAGCAGAAGATAGTTGAGAGGTCAGAGAAGCAGCTGGAAAATCAGGTGGCTGAATCACAAGTGCCTAGCAAGGAAAGATAGAGTCTCAAAAAGGAGGAAGTGCTGCTAAGATGCATTGATAAAATTGGGCAGGAAATGGCAATCTGTGACTGAAGACAAGCACTTGGGTGTGGACCTGCATTGGGGGTGGAGAAAGGAGAAAGATGCTGGATAGGAGTGGACCAGCTTCCTCTGTCAGGGCAATGAAAGAGAGGAAGAGAGCCCAGTTACACTGGTTTTTGTAAAGTGTATTTAAATAAGTCCAATGAGCACTCAGCAGTTTTTACCTTTAAGGCAAGTACCTACAGGGAGCAGGATTTGGTGGTCTTTTGCTCTTTACCCTTGATTTTCCTACTCACCACAGATTTATCTGTAATTTTAAATGTTACTCTGCTTTAGGCATTCTTGGTAGATTGGATTATGTATTTCAAGAATTGCCTTTGTATTTGGGCCATGTATATTGGCCAGTGTGGCAAAGCATTTAATATAGTGGGAAGGAAATCCCTATGTCTGCTCTTCAGTCTGTGGGACTTAAAGCAAAAATTAACTTCTTTGAACTTCAATTCCCTTGTGTGTGAAATGGGATGAAATTTATTAAATGGGATTATTTTGGAATCAAAGAATATAAAGAATGTTCAGAACTCTGTACACAAAGGGTATTCAGTATGTTAATTCCCTTCACATCCATTGAGAGGAAGGAGAAAGAAAATATGAATGCTGATTTGGTGATTATTCAGAAGTGATGTTTCTTGGTCCCTGAGTTCTATCTAAGGAATTCGGAGAAATTTAATCTGCCTATCTGGAAAAGATTAGCTACTATGTTTTGAAATAGGCAGAACTGCCTCATGATGACATTAAATAGCCACTGTGCAGCTCATATATCAGGCATAACACAGGGGCCAGCCAGTCACTTCTGTGGTTTGTAATGTGGACTTTTTTTTTTAAGATTTATTTATTTGTGCATACACAACTGGGGTACAGGCCAGAGGTGCAGGGGCAGTGAGAGGATTCACCAGAGACAGAGCAGGGAGCAGAACAGGCAGATCGATGAAGTACACTGCTGAGGGGAGCAGCAGGCTGGTCAGGAGAGGTCTGCCGAGCCATGTGGGTCACCTCCAGGACAGGAAGGGATCGAACTCATGTGGAAGTGACTTTAGCTTCTTAGTGCTGTGCTTTAACTCGCTGCGCCACCAAGGAGGGCCCCATAATGTGGACGTTTTATGTGAGATTGCTCTTAAACCTTGGGATCAGGTATCTAATGGACAATCTAGGAGAGGTAGCTGAGAACTGTGCATGCCATGGACTATTAGAATATTTGAAGATATATTGCTTTTACTTTCCTAAATTCCTTTGATCAAATTTTCTATAGTAATGAAGATTCTTTTGAATAACTTGTGGTAGTTTTTTTTTTCTGTCTGAATTTGTGTTATTTCAATCTATTACATAATAGCTTCCCTTGAGATTTTATAGGAGATTGCAGTTAGAATTCATTGAGTTTTAAAAGGCTTCAGTTCTGAGTTACACCACAGTTTTCTGTCCTGCCATTGAGATAGTTCGAAGTCCACCCTGAGGAGGACAAGTTGCTGGCACGCACTGGGCTGTCTTGCAGCTCAGGCCTACATCTGGTCACCTTTGGATGAGGTGTGTCT